AAGAAGAGTTCGGTCGGCTCGAGAACGAGAAAGGGCCAGGCACGCGAACGGGAGAAGGAAGGTAGGCAGAGCTCGGACGCGGAGAATGGGGAGTTTGGGCTAAAGAGAAAAGGGATAAAAATAGTTTTAACATAAATTAATATATATATATTAAAGAAAAGTGATGGTTGTAGACAATGTTTAAATGATGCTAGCAAACTAGTCAGAAAGAATATAGCAAAATTTGCTCAAAGGATTAGCTAAAAGGTCATACAAACTAGATACTTAACATATAATTACAATGCAAATTATAGTCACATACCCACGATTTCACCAAGGTGCATAGAAACCGAATTTAGCTGTGCCTTGTTTTCATGAAGGCGGTTAACAGCTCTCCTTGATCTTACAATTTCTTTAGCAAGTGTCTGCAATTTTAAATACACACATCAAATGATATTTTGATAAAAATATAGGTAATATGCATGAAGAAATTATAAACTCAAGATAAGGTGAAAGCTGGAAATAGGCAAAATTTTCAACTCAAATTTCTTTCTTAACCGGAATATGAATATCACCTTTCTGCATATAACTAAATCTCTCAATGTTTATACTTTTTAAACCCATAACAAGAAGTTACTGCATTCTCAATTCTTGTACTGGTTACTTAACATGGGCAAAAGCATTTAAGTTTTCTCTAAATTAATAAGAATCCTACCAATTTATTACTTCGTGATTAAGCGTAATAGTAGTAGTTTCAAGCCATTACTTCTTAAACCTCATTGTTTTCACCTATCCTATGGGATATTAAGCCCATCATCGACATAATCAATAGCTTTAAACTAACTATCCGAGATTGGCTTATAAGTCATCGTCCACTGCCTCAGGTTTTTAACTTATTCAGTGTCACTATTTTTGCAATGACTTCAAGTCATAATAGCTATGCCAAAAATATCATTTTCTTCCTAATTTTTTCAAATTAATTTTGCGCAACCACCTTATTGGTGCATCTACTTCTCTCCCGTGTACATGCTCAACCAGCCTGAATCCATTTTAAGTATTATATTCAATAGATTGTACTTCCAACATCTTTCTTAAATATTCATTGCTCTCTTTACCTTTCTTGTTTCAGAGCATATCCATCTTAAGATACAGATTTCAATAAAAATCAACTTTATACTTAGTGCCTTCTTCATTGCCCACTCTAAGCTATATAATATAGCCAATTTAACAATAATTTTATAATATTTATGGATAAATCTACACATATTTCATGATTCTATACATATGCTCTTAAAATTTTCCTCTTCATCGCCATCATTAACATTATTACAATCATCCTATTTTTTAGGTCAGTTTTTTAAATTCACATTTTTCATTCTTTCCCTTGAGCATCAATAATGTTTTAAACCTATTCTACATGAATATTTTTGAAATTCTATCCACATTAACCTAGTCCTATACATTATTCTTTTTAATCCTTTGACCTTAACTTTATATGCATGTGTAATGGATGCATTTTCAACTCTGCATTGCGCATCCAAAAAAATTAAATCTATTTTCTAGTAACCTATCTCCAATAATAACTATTGCCAAAACCCCTCTAATATAATCATTTATCATTTTATCCTTGCTAATTTTTTCATGCAACTCGCTTATCATTTTCATTTTATCGTAAGTTTTATCATCCAACATTTGAATTCATAGAAGAAGGCTAGTCTATTTGTAGATTTATAAAATTCACTACTAAGCCTTCATATAATAATCCTTCATTGAAACTCTCATATAATAATTTTTCAAAATATCACTTTTTCCTTTCCTCGAGATTCTATTGATTAGAGCCTCTAGATCTCGTTTATCTTAACTTATATATCTTATATTTCTCATTTTTTCTTAATAAATAGCTATAGCTGTATATCTATAATTTTCTATTTCTCGTGCCTCATTTTTCCGCAAATCGTATTGAGCCAATATATGATTCAATGTAGATGTGTGTTACGAATGTTTCCAAGTGCACATCGGTCCGAAAAAAAATTTAGACACATATGTTGCAGTGTCTGACAAGTGTTGGACTGCGTCGAATAAGTGTTTGTGTCCTATACGTGTCCGACACGGGTACGACGCATTTTTAGAAGTGTTGGTCCTACAAAGTCTAACTAAAGCCTACATCCTAAATAAGTTCACAAAAATAGATTAGTTAAGTAATGGCGGTGTAAAGGTAGTTGACATAGTAACCAAACCCTCTCACGGCAATTGAATTCAACTATGAGTTTTCTGAATGACGTTCAAGTCAGCACTTGCCTAAATCTCACCACAATCAAATTAAAAATTATGTTTTGCACAAGTTATAAATTTTTTCTTTCCATACATCTATAAAAAAACAACCTTTCTCCTCCAGACTTAAGAATGTTATGGGAACTTAGACAGGTACATAAACTTGGGAAGACCGAACTAAAAAATATGTACCAGCGAAGTTTCTCTCAGTTCCAGTGCATTTTCATCTTTTCCATTGTCAGTAGAGTTACCCCAATTAGTTGAGATAAATATTATGAATCATTCTTCTTCCTTCATTGCTGGGTATTGCGACCTGATGTCTAACTCTATTTAGCAAAAGTTTTTACTCAACTTTTCAGAAATTCTTGGGCACAAATTATAACAAAATCCATCATATCAAACCTACCTCAAAAGCAATGAGAAATCAGTAAAATAGATAACTGGCAATCAAGATTAAATCATAGCAGGCTCTCATCCACAAATTATTTACAAACTCCGCGATCACAAGGTAAAGGAACCTCAGGACACCAAACCTTAGCTGATGCCATGTCGTTCCGCTTCGCTGCTTCCTTAATAGCCTTCTGCACATTCCGCTCTTCCCGCTCCACATCTGCAAATAAATCACCATTTAATTAACCAAATTAAAGAGAAAAAAAAAACAAGGATACGATAAAGAATCCCAATTAGTGCATCTGTAAAAGGAGAAAGAGGGTTGCCTCTAATCTGGCGCTCCACGTATCGGCATTCTTGGCGTAAACGTCGTTGCCAATCCCTGAGCTGCTGTTGAGGGCTTGGCTTTGGCTTTAACAGATTCTTCATCGTATCCATCCCGCTTAGAAAAGAAGATCTACGAGCTCACACAATTGAGTTTCCGAAGGTCTTAGGGTTCATGAAGATCATGAAGGCACAATCAACGGAGAAGCTGCAGGTTCTTTGTGCCTGGTTTTCCTTTGTGGGCATTTACGTTAATAT